TGGAAATGAAATTAAAAAATTCCTCCCAGTAGCACCTTAGAGACCAACTAAGTTTGTTATTGGTATGAGCTTTCGTGTGCATGCATTGGAAATTAATCAGTATTTCCATCCCAAAACTTTTGCAGGTGCAAGCAGTATTGAAAGGGGATTGAGTATCACTGCCCAGATACCATCATGAGCGCAAATCATCATAAATACACAATAAACATAGCATCTGGAGTGGGACAAAATTTAGCTGCTTTGAAGCTGTTTTTAGGACTTGCATAAAGAAAGAGCAAGCAAAGATGTCCGAAACTACTTGAGATTTATTATATTTGGCCAAGGGACCAGGCATGCAGAGTGTCACGAGTTTTATGGGCCTGTTTTAATGCAACTGCCCCATTCACATTATGTTCCATTTTAAACAATGCTGTCTTTTGTCCTATGATACTCCTAACTATGCTATTCATCTCTTCCTTTTGATGTAGACAAGCCTCCTGGCTGGGCAAAGATTAACATTGCCCTAGATCAGCGATTCTCAACCTGTGGGTCCCCAGATGTTGTTGGACTACAACTCCCATCATCCCTGAGCTCTGGCCTTGCTAGCTAGGGGTGATGGGAGTTGTAGTCCAACAACATCTGGGGACCCACAGGTTGAGAAAGGCTGCCCTAGATGAAAACAAAGGACATCATCACCATAGTTTTCAGGACCCCCAGAATGGGGAAGGGTGATAAGCTCAGAGTCAATTGCTATGATGAAGAAAAAGCAGAAATACTGAAGCCAACATAGTACGGTAGATTTTAGTTTATGCAAGCTTATTCCTCTGTTTCTATGTGTTATGCAATAGTTACAGGGCTGACCCTATTATTAGGTAGAATGAGGCAGCCGCTTCAGGCAGCGAATGCTGTTGGGTGGCCCATGACCTTTCCTGGGCCTCCTAAGCTGCCCTCATGCACCAGTGTTGAAGTAAGATTCAGCTGCCAATTTGGTAAGCTTTTGTACAAGGGCCACTGTGTTGCCAATTGCCTCAGGTAGGAAAATGTCTCGGGGCAGCCTTGAGTAAGTAGATCATGCAAGTTGAAATCATAGAATCTAGTCCAACCCTCTGCAATGCAGGGATCTCAGCTAAAGCTTGTGACCATCCAACCTAGGGTTACAATATTTCAAAAAGTGACAATCCAGACACAAAAGTTGGGACACGGGTGGTGCTGTGGGTTAAACCACAGAGCCTAGGACTTGCCGATCAGAAGGTTGGCGGTTCGAATCCCCATTATGGGTATGAGCTCCCGTTGCTCGGTCCCGGCTCCTGCCAACCTAGCAGTTCGAAAGCACGTCAAAGTGCAAGTAGATAAATAGGTACCGCTCTGGCGGGAAGGTAAACGGCATTTCCGTGCGCTGCTCTGGTTCGCCAGAAGCAGCTTAGTCATGCTGGCCACATGACCCGGAAGCTGTACGCCGGCTCCCTCGGCCAATAAAGCAAGATGAGCGCCACAACCCTAGAGTCGGCCACGACTGGACCTAATGGTCAGGGGTCCCTTTACCTTTATCCAATCCAGATATGGAGGGCCGGATACGGAAGTCTGGAGAGCCACATTGAGACCCTGTTCCTGTGATTTCTTCCCTCTGCTTTATCCCAATCGAAAGGAAACTCCATCTCCAGGCAACGAGGTTTGTTACTGCATTGTTTTTATATCTCTATGGCTCCAACAGCGTTTGCCATCCAACTGGCAGTGAGAAGGAAAGATAAATAGCGTTGTACTCTGGGACACCAAGATCCCAGGGACACTGGGAGTCCGTGCTGCTGGTATGATTTACAGTCCCCAGAATGTGAGTAAATGAATTCAGCCTCAGGAATCTAGTGTGCACTGTGGAACTGACAGAGAACCACATCTAAAGAGCCTTTGTCACTCGTGTATAAGTAATATCTGTAGGAAAGCAGGGGCAGCAACAAATATTGCCACTGCATATCCTTCTAATAGGGATGCGGGTGGCGCTATGGGTTAAACCACAGAGCCTAGGACTTGCCGATCAGAAGGTTGGTGGTTCGAATCCCTGTGACAGGGTGAGCTCCCGTTGCTCAGTCCCTGCTCCTGCCAACCTAGCAGTTTGAAAGCACGTCAAAGTGCAAGTACATAAATAGGTCCCGCTCCGGCGGGAAGGTAAACGGTGTTTCTGTGCGCTGCTCTGGTTCGCCAGAAGCGGCTTAGTCATGCTGGCCACATGACCCAGAAGCTGTATGCTGGCTCCCTCGGCCAATAAAGCAAGATGAGCGCTGCAACCCCAGAGTCGGTCACGACTGGACCTAATGATCAGGGGTCCCTTTACCTTTATCCTTCTAATAAAAGCACTCCTGTTCAGGATTCCAGCCAGCCAGGCCCGTCTTCAAGATACTCGGTTCCATCCCTCCTCATTTCCTTTTAATTTCCCACCTCCCTAACTGACACACATTCTGTGGTTACTGAGTATGCTCAGTCCTCATGGGGCTGTTTTGAGGTTCTTTTTGCCCCCCTTAGATTTAATTTTTAAAAGGTTTCAGATTTGTGCTTCCATATACCTTAGGGTTCCCATGAGCTTGTGGATCCTTCTCTCTTTTTCCTAAGAGACCCTCTGCTTGGACTCTGCCATTTCCTTCAGCCAGAGTCACCTGTCTTCACAGTTAGAGGGCATAGCAAGCTCCTTCAGCAACTGGCTATAAATATAAGCCAGGCAGCCAAAGCATAAATAAGCTAAGGGAGATCCATCAGTTATTCTGTTTCTTTCAAAACTGGCAAGGCTTTCCTTGGCCTGTTTTGGAAAAACAAAGCAAGAACAAAATGCTGATGCAGAGCCACCACCAGCTCTGCTGGGGAATCATAGAGTTGTTAGAGTTGGAAAGGACCCTTTGGGTCATCTAGTCCAACCCCCTGGACTTCAGGAGTCTCAGCTCACAAACCCCCCATCCAACCTCCCCAACCAATGGAGAAATGAACAGGGATGCAGGGCCTATCCATTGGCAGAGCCGAGAAACAACTACCGTATTTTTTGCTCTATAAGACTCACTTTTTCCCTCCTAAAAAGTAAGGGGAAATGTGTGTGTGTCTTATGGAGCGAATGCAGGCCTTGCAGCTATCCCAGAAGCCAGAACAGCAAGAGGGGTTGCTGCTTTCACTGCGCGGAGATCCCTCTTGCTGTTCTGGCTTCTGAGATTCAGAATATTTTTTTTCTTGTTTTCCTCCTCCAAAAACTAGGTGCGTCTTGAGGTCTGGTGCGTCTTATAGAGAGAAAAATACGGTACTTTATGCTCCTCCACTTCTCAACGTTTTCCTCCCCAGCTGGTCATCAGAGGAGCTTGGAACCAATAACTTATATCTTGCGTACTTCCTCCTCCCTCCCAGCCCATTTTCCTTTTGTGAGGTGTCTTCTGTTTGCTTGGTTTTTGTAAGTTTGCCTTGCTTATAGTGTCTGATGGCCTGTAAGCAACACGGAGAGCTTATATTTTTTAGCCATAGGTCAGCGGTAGAGCATCTGCTTTTAAAGCAGATGGTCTCCAGTTCAATCCTCAGGGAGGACTGTGTAGACAATACTGAGCTAGACTAATGGAATAAGTAGAAGGCATCTTCCTATGTTCCTATGATAGCTAGATCTATCCATGCGTCCCAAATCTCTGAGTAGTGAGAGACTTCAGTGGTTCCAGATCTTACCTGGGGTTCGGTTTCCTTGGAATGAAGGTCAACGGAGACTGTGGTGCCTTTAGGATATATGGTTTTATTTACACACACATACAACCTGAGCCTAGCATGGAAGGATTCACAGCACTGACATTTCAACAGACCTTCCCCTCCCTGTTAGGTTTCCAGAGGATCTCAAAGACATAGCTTTGGTTCCAGCACAGAGCGAGACAATCCTCTGTGTATCCAGCTTCCAGCATCAGCCAAAACACACACTCTCTCTCACACACAAAAACCCTCCGTGACCTATTGTTCCCCATCCTAGGTTAATGTTGCATCTAGCCAGGTGAAGGCAGGTGGGGAAAGTGCCTATTCCTGTAGATCACCATCACTTAGCTGTCGCTATGGCAACACAGCATCTTTAAGATGCTGATGAGAGCACTTAACTGGTGAGCTAAGGAGATTTCCTGATAAGGAGAAATGGCTCAACAGCTTCTTGTACTCGATTCTAAAACTGACTGGATACAGAATCACCTGCATGGAAGGGGACCCCCCTCCCTCAAATATCATTCAAGTTAGCCACCACCCCCATAACAATATATATAATGGAATTTGGAAAAATCAGTGTTTGAACCAGGCCTAGAGAAATGATGCTGTGGTCCTGATATTGTTATGATTCAAGGTTGTCTTTTCTTGTCATCAGTTGGCTCAGTCACAGTTCCAGATCTCACTGATCCAAAGTGAGCATCTAGCTAGCCAACTGACATGGCTGGGCGTAGGCAGAGTTTCAGGACATAAAACTTAAACATAATTACACATCACAACAAAGAAAGTGGGGGAAAACTTTATTTAAAAAGGTTGTCTTTATGAAGTGGACAACTAGTAGATCTACATATGCTGAGGTTCTTAATATAGTTTTCTGATGTGCATTATTTTCTTTTTTTAAAAAAAGATTTGAATGACAATAACCATGGTATTTGCTGGTAAACGTACCCTACACAGAATCTTACTACATAGTGAAGTAAATTTTACCTCACCTCTCTTTCCACCCACTTCTGATCGCTGCAGGGGCATGGTAATATTTAAGTTCATTCTACTCAAGTCCGATTGATTTAAGCATAATTCTAAGGTTGGGTCCAAATCCTTGGTTCAAGAAGTACTCTAGGTCATTTAGGGTTGTTTACAGCAATGCCAGAACTTTGAACTTCTCCTCGAGCAAGCTCCCCTCTCCGATGGTCTTCCAGGACCAGGAAGGCATGAAGTGGGAGGAGCAAAGGCAGACATGCTGGCGCAGTCTCAGATTGCTTGGGAAAAGCCCTGGAGAGGAAGAGACTTAGGCAGCTGTGGAAGGCAGGGACCTTTAGTCTCTGCAACTGCCTCATAGGGGCACTCCTGAACAGATCCTGTTTCTTCTAATAAAGAGTTAACTTCACTTACTCTGTGTGATTTATTGCTGGCTCCCTCCTGACACTGGCCTAGTTTAGTCTCTGAAGAGCTTAAAAAACCCTGAAGGGATTCATTGTATTTTTGTATGGAACCATCTTGTCCAACCAGGTGCCCTCCAGATGTTGTTGGACTACAACTCCCAACACCCCTGCCCATTGGCCATGCTGACTGAGGCTGATGGGAGTTGAAGTCCTGCAACACCTGAAGGACACTGGGCTGAGGAAGGCTAGTCTAGAGGAAAGTTCTCCGGTCTAAAATGGTACACATGCTGGAAGGTGGGCCTGGCTCTGGTAGACCATGTCAGTGACAACTACACTACAATTACAATGTTTCTCTCTATTTCAGGGGTGAGGGACCTGTGGCCCTCCAGGTGTTGTGGGGCTCTGGGCTCCCACCAGACCCTGCTAGCATGGCCAAAAGTTAGGAATGATGGGAACTGTAGTCCAACATCATCTGGAGGGCAACACGTCCCCTACCCCTGCTTCGTTTGGTTCGACCTGGTGCTCGGACATAATAAATAGCTCCCAGCTCCATTAATTTTTTACACCGAGTTAACACAAATGTCTTAAGAGGTCTTTTTTTTACAGAATAGGGTGTGGGATTGCTTGAGACCTGTCATGTCTCCAGCAAGTTCTGGTTTCCTTCCGGTGTCATGAACTGGACCTTGGGCACCACAAAGGACGAATTATTCCTCCTCATGGAGTTGTTCCTCCTTATGGAGTTATTCCTCCGCATGGAATTGCGTTTCCTCAGGGAGTTCTGGTGTGACAGCTCGCTCTTCTGGAGGGTCTGGATGAGGATGGAAGGCTTCTCATCCAGCTCCTTGGCACTGCAACGCGGCGCTGCGACTTTGCTCGTGTTGCCGAACTTGGAGTAGTCAACAGCATAGGCCCCTTCTTCTTCCGCTACGATAGGCACGAAGCGGTGGCCCCAGAGGATCTCTTCGGATATGTAGGACGTTCTTGCTTGGGTGGTGATTCCAGTGGTTTCCACCACACCTTCAAGTATGACAATGATCTCTAGGTCTTGGTTGGCCAAGTCATTGGCGGAGATGTCGTAAAGAGGACTCCGCTTGTCAATGATGTGGCAAATAATCAAAGGGGCCACTAGGAAAATATTGTTGCTCTCAATGGGATTGTCTACTGGGACGTCTAGCTGGTGGATCGGGATGACTTCTCCTTCAGGGGTGGTGGTCTTCTTGACCACCTGGATCCGCACCGAGGCACTGATGATCATGCTTTTCCTCAGGTCCCCAACCCGAAACATGAAGCAGAGTTTGCCATTGCGTACGGCGATGACCGCGTTCCGGCTGAATATCAAGGTCTCGGCTCGCCGGTGTGCCTGCGCCGTCTTCATGAAGATGCAACCCAACATGACGGCGTTGATGATCAAGCCCACAATGTTCTGGAGCATCAGTACGGTGATCGCTATGGGACATTCTTCAGTCATCATCCTCCCTCCAAAGCCAATGGTCACCTGGACCTCAATAGAGAAGAGGAAAGCGGAGGTGAAAGACCTAAGGGAAAGGAGAGAGGGGAAACAATGCGCACCATTATCAAATACTGTATGATGGGCGACTCGTGTTATCCATTACTGAAACTTATGTACCGTCAGGAACGAGCCAGCAGTAAATCACACCGTGCAAGATGGAGTTAACTCTTTATTAGCAAAATCAGGATCTGCACAGGAGTGTCAGACCTAATGAACACAGTGACTCATCTCTGGCAGGTCTTGCCCCCATGAAGCAGTTGCTGGACTGAAGGTGCCTGCCTCCCCATAGCTAGCTAAGTCCCCTCCTCTACAGGGCTTTCCCCAAGCAATCAGAGACTGTGCCTGCCTGTCACCAATATCTCCTCTTCTGGTTCTGGGAGACCAGTGGGGAAGGGAGTTTATAGAGAAAAGGTGAGTAAGAGGCAACATGATAGAATATTTTTGTAAGATTATCCATGGCATGGAGAAAATGGATGGATGCAATCATCAACTGGGGCTCTTCTTCAAGTGCCCCCTCCATGGGAAGTCCAGAGGGTAGCAACAAGAGAGCAGGGCTTTTCTGTGGTGGCTCCTCAATTGTGGAATGCTCTCCCCAGGGAGACTCACCTGACACCAACACTGGATATGTTTAAGTGCCAGGCAAAAACATTCAGCTAGGACTTTGGATGATAATGATCTATGGTCTTGTAAATCGGTGTGTGTGTGTGTGTGTGTGTGTGTGTGTGTGTGTGGTGTTGTTAAAATTTGTATACTGCCCCTCATCCATAGATCTCAGGGCTGTTCACAACATTTTAAATGTACAGTTGTACCTCGGAAGTCGAACGCTTGGAAAAATGAACGTTTTGGCTCCTGAACACCGCAAACCCGGAAGTGATTGTTCCGTTTTGCAAACATTCTTTGGAACCTGAACGTCCATTGCAGCTTCTGATTGGCTGCAGCAACTTCCTGCGGCCAATCAGAAGCTGCGCCTTGGTTCTTGAACATTTTGGAAGTCGAATGGACTTCTGGAATGGATTCCGTTTAACTTCCATGGTACAACTGTATTTAATTTTTCTTGTGTATTTCCCCCTTGGTTTTAATCAATGTACGGCTTTCCTTTTGCTTTTCGTATAGTTGCTTTGAGTTGCTTGCTGCAAGAAATTTAATCAATCATTGTCGCTATTACCTGACGCAAGTGACACAGGGCTTCCACCTATCGATGTCCTCGCTGGTTGTGCACGGCTTGTCCATGTCCCCGTGAGCAAAGGCCACCAGCCACCACATCATGGCGAAGAAGAGCCAGCTGCACAGGAAGGACATGGTGAAGATGACCAGTGTGTGGCGCCACTTCAGGTCCACCAGGGTGGTGAAGATGTCCTGCAGGAAGCGCCCTTGCTCGCGGATGTTCTTGTGAGCCAAGTTGCAAGCCCCGTTCTTGGCGATGAAGCGGGCTTTCTGTTGCCGGTCCCTGACGCGCGGCTTGCCCAGGTTCTCGGCCGCGATCCGTGCAAGGACATACTCTTCGGGGATGATACTCTTCCTGGCCAACATCTCCCTGTCACCATAGTCCACCAATCAACTGAAAATGGGCAGAGGTGGAGAGGATGGAAAAACCCTGTAGAGACCTCTTGTGTATTCTGTTTTCTCTATTAGATCCTGGAGAAAGAAAGCAGTGAGCATAAGTCACCCCATCCCACTAATTCACTCCATTCCTGCCAATGATTATAGGCCTAGCTAGGAAAGAAATTTGGGGGAGATTTGCCAGGAGGGTGGGGATTCTCATCTGAGGATCGACGGTTTCTGTACAAGCTAGGAGATCTTTTGCACTCTTGTACAAACAAATCCAAGAATTCTGGGCTGCTCCAATCAAAAATTCTATACAGAATGGGAATGTATAAGTGAATACATGAAGAAATATGGCGTTAAAGCAGAACTCTTAATAGGGAATTGTTAAGCATGTAATTATAATTTATCAGTTTTCATGTTATTTTATTTAAGCAACTAGAAAAAAATATTATTTGGGGGAGATCTCACACAGGTGAAAGGGAAGCAGTGGGGAGGAGGAGAGGGTTAGGTTGAATTTGGGAAATAAAATAATATATGGGACAGCAAAGGATATAATAGATTCTTATAGAATAGTAATATATTGTAACCAAAATAGAAGTTCAAAAGGGGAAGTAAATGGACTTTTAGTATTTTCATTATTGTAATAGTTATTATTATTTCTTATTGGTAGAAGGCAATGTTAACTTAGACGTCTTCGTTTTGCTGTCTGTATAATTTTCTGAAATCAATAAAATAATAATAATTCTGGATTGCAACTTCAAAGCACTCATTTTCATGATTCCATTGGACTTCCTTTTTTTAGTGTAATACTTTTTATTAGTTTTCAATTGCAACAACCCAGTAAAAGCCTCATTGTCACAATACCAAATTATAATACAATTAATAATGCCAATTGTTCAGATGCCAAATTATATTATTTTGTAGGCCCCCTTCATGCTAGAATTGATGATTTGATAATTTACTTTAACTCTGCGATTCCATTGGACTTGCATTCCTTGATAATGAAATCGTCTTCCTCCCAACCACCCCCCTGCAAAAATATATAGTTTGTCAATCTGAAGAGCTGTCACATGGAAAATGGAACAAGCCACTTTTCTTCTGCTCTGGAGGGTAGGACCCAAACTGATGTATTCAAATTACAAGAAAGGTGATTCTGGCTAAACATTAGAAAGAACTTTCTGCCGGTAAGAGCTGTTCAACAGTGGAACAGACGGCAAGTAGTGGACGCTTCTTCCTTGGAGGTTTTTAAGCAGAGGTTGGATGGCCATCTGCCATGGATGCTTGAGCTGAGATTCCTGCATTGTAGGGGGTTGGACTAGATGACCCTTGGGGTCCCTTCCAACTCTACAGTTCTATGATTCTGTGGATGAGTCCCACAAAGGATTTGTGCCCTAGAAAAGCAAAACTCCACACGTTCTCCAACTAAACTCATATAAACATCGTCCGAAGACTGTTTGGGTTTAATTAGTACTTTCTTGGGCAACATGAAAGGTTAAATGCACTGTTTAAACTCTTTTCCCCATTATACCTGAATGTTTTTAGCAAATGGAATACTGTATATGAATGCATTGGGGCTGAGAAACACTAGGCGATAAGCCAAGCCTTAGCAGTTGTGTCAGTTTCACAATACAAGAAAGAGAAAGCATCTTTGTTTGGGAATCTGGTGTTTATTTACAATGCAGGAAGCAAGTTTTTGAGTCACACAGGGCTCTTCCTATATGCATGACACCCTTAAACACAGAAGTTGCTAATCCAGAAATGGCTGGGCATGTATTCAGTAGCCCAGGAAAGTGATATCCCATTACCCTGTGGTCCGCAAAACAAGCAAACAAACCATAAATATCTAGCCTGGTTGAAGAGCCCTGTTTGACTCAAAAGCTTGCTTCTAGCATTTTAAATGCTAGTCCTCCAAATAGAATGCTAGTTCTCCCAAGCACGTTTGCACATGTGCTTCATGTCAGGAGAAAAGTTGTACAACAAACCAAGGACACAGAATGAGCGGCGCTGAACTAAGTTTTAAGTCAGAGTAGACCTGTTGAAATAAATGGACCTAACTTGGGCATCTTTATGCATTTTGTTGGATGTACTCTGAGTAAAACATAGTTGATTGCTGCTTCTTGACTAGTAAAACGTGAAATACCTATAAGTGTTGACATAATATTCAATGGAAATGTCTGCTACGAATAATCCTATGAAGCCTGGAAAACGGAAAATAAAAACGAAAGACTATGTCATCCTGCAGACACTTTGTAATCTGAGCAGGAGCAAGCAAGGGCTCTTTTTCCCTCAGTATGATCCCTGAGCCATGCTAATAAGAGTTCTTCTGAGCATGTCTGAAATCCCTTCTTGTAACTCGTACAGTGGTACCTCAGGTTACAGACGCTTCAGGTTACAGACTCCGCTAACCCAGAAATAGTACCTCGGGTTAAGAACTTTGCTGCAGGATGAGAACAGAAATTGTGCGGCGGCAGCAGTGGGAGGCCCCATTAGCTAAAGTGGTACCTCAGGTTAAGAAAGTTTCAGCTTAAGAACGGACCTCCGGAATGAATTAAGTTCTTCACCCGAGGTACCGCTGTATATTTTTTACAGCCAACCCTGCCTTAGACAAGGGAGAAAATCCCTTCCAGGACAGAGATGTGACTCTCCAAAAGCACAGAGCATCGCTTTCAAAATCCGGCACCAGAACTCTTACATAAAAGTTACTTTGAGAGGAGGGGATAACAGCTTGTTTTTAGTCCCAGGATGTGGGGATGCCAAATGAAAATGCGAAGCCACAACAGCTGCAGACACCTGAACTGACTTCCTTAGCATTAAGGGGACACCGACTAAGGGAACTCAGACAAACCCAAGAAAGAAAGTGGAAACTTACGGAGATTCTGCAGCGACAGAACAGATGCAGCCTGGGTGCTCAGCCTGGCCAGATCCTTTGAGCTTCCATGGCAGCTGAATCCCCAAGAGCCGAAAGGCAGGATTTAAGATGCAGGTATTGCTGGTCTTCCTCACTCTCTGCTCCCCTCTGGGATTCTTCGGCCGCCTGGCCTGCAGACTGGACGTGGTGGTCAGAGAGTTGGCAGAGCCATTATTTGGTCTGCCTTGGCCTGGGAGATGTTCTTCGTTGGAGAGGAAGAGGGAGGGGCGGAGGAGAGAGAGAGTGGAGGGGATGAAGGAGATCCAAATTCAGGAAAGGCTGGCTGAGGCTGTGTATGGTGCTAGGTAGGAGAGAGGAATCTTGACATCAACAGTAGCAGCGACCAGAGCCCTGCCTCTTCTCATCTTCCTCCTCCCTCGACATACAGATCGTTGCAAAGTTTTCAGCGTTTCCCCTGAGTTTGGGGATGGGACAGAGAGAGCGGGGGAGGGATGCTGGCCCCAGTCCAAGCACCACTGACGCAGAGAGCAGGGAGAGAGAGAGAATTAAATTCTCTTTTAACCTCTGGCCTGAATAGGGCTCAGTGACAAGCTACAGCAAAGAAACTCCATCTTCGGAGTCTCCATCCCGGCCAGTTGATTTGGTGGTTGGCTGTTTTCCATAAGAAACAGGGGGCTGAAATATGTGACCTTTCTGACCTTATAGGGCTCGAACCCCTCTTGGGAGGCCCGGCAGGCAGCTCTTCCTAAGCTGTTGTGCCATGTGATTTAAGAGGTGCGATGAAATATACTCAGAGTCAAGCGTGGATTTCATGCTCTTTATTCAGCTCATAGTGGTGAGGAGGGAATGAAAGTCTCCTCAAAGTATCTGTTTTATATACATTATTTACACAATGGGCTGCACGTGATTGGCTAATTCTGGAATTCTCCTGTAGGCCAATCAGGTTGTGGATTCACTTCTATCTGGAGCTGGATTGGGTGGCTCCTGCAGACCAGTCATACTGCTGCATTGTCCTAGGACCAATCAGACTGCTGCATTCTGAATCCTATTGTTCTAGGACCAATCAGACTGTTGCATTTTGGATCCTATTGCTCTAGGAACAATCAGACTGCTGCATTTTGGATCCTATTCAACTCAGTACATAACATGCGATCTGGGATCCCTTGCAATGTCACAGAAGATACTGGAGAAGCCATCCTGGTTTCTGATTTGATCCTGGAATGTCCTATTTGCACAGAATAGGGATGTCCGATTCCATAATAATGATGATAACAATTTTATTATGTATACCCCGCCCATCAGACTGGGTTGCCCCAGACACTCTGGACAGCTTCCAACAGAAAACTTAATATGAACCTACCTGGACCCTGAGATCACCTTCTGAGGTCCTCCTTCATGTGCCTCCTCCTCGAGAGGTCTGGGGGGTGGCAACATGAGAACAGGGCCTTCTATGCAGTAGCTCCTTGTCTGTGGAATGCTCTCCCCAGGGAGGTTCACCTAGTGCCTTCATTATAGACCTATAGGCGCCATGCGAAAACGTTCCTTTTAAACCAGGCCTTTGGTCGGTTTGATTGACATCCCATGCCCTTTTAAAATGTGGGGGGTTGGGGGGTGGGGAGTTATTGAGTTGTTGTTGTTTTGATTATGTATTTTGTGGTTTTATATTTTGATTTTATTCTGTGAACCACCCTGAGACTTGTGGGTATAGTGCGGTATATAAATTCAATAAATAAAATAAATAATAAAACATTTAACATTAAAAAACCAACAACCACTTCCCCATACAGGGCTACCTTCAGGTGTCTTCTAAAGGCTGCATAGTTATTTATCTCCTTGGCTCAGTGGGAGGGGAGGGTTGCAGAGCTCTACACTCTGATGAAAATAGGGACATCCTAAGGAAAAGCGGGACATTCTGGGATCAAATCAGAAACTGGGACGGTTTCTGTAAATCCAGGACTGTCCCTGGAAAATAGGAACACTTGGAGGTCCATCCCAGTACTGGACATGGAAATTGAGAAGTCACTCTCCTGCTCCCATTTTCTCCTCCTCTGTAGCCCCACCAATTCTTCCTCCATAGATCACTGGTGGGTTCCCACGTGTCAAGACACAGTGATAACAGCAAGAACATTTCATGACCTACATAACTAGGAAACAGGGGCAAAGCAACTGCTTATATACATTCCTGAAAGCCTGGGCCACTCCCACTCCCAACGTGATTGGCTGTCTCAACTTCTAAGCTGTGAATCATGACTCCAAGGGCCAGTGGCAGAGGCCCAAATCCTGAAATGTTCTGTGATTGGACATCATGTATCGAATCAGGACACAGGAGCTCATAAATCCTTAGTCCAGGCTCAAGCTCAGGCAAACACAGACCACTGAATACTTAACACCATGCTCCGCGGAGACTGGATCTGCTGCCTGAGGCTACTGCCTCATCAGGCCTCATGGATGGGACAGCCCTGCAGCCATGGAAGGTTTTGGAAGACATCGGTTGGGCCTGTGTCCTCCTCTGGAAAACTTGGTCACCCCCTTGACTTCAATAGGGCTTCCTTGTAACTGAGTTTCCCTGGATTGTGCCCAGCTAAGCTTGTCTTCTAAATCTTGCAGTGGTTGCCCAAAGGTCAAGGCCCAAAATGGTGTGCATTATTTGCATTTGAAGTGCAACCTGTTGCTGTTTGAACGCCGGCGAATCGTTTCCTCTGAACCTCTGGTCTTCTCATAAAAAGGTCTCCTTAACGTAAATCTCTCTCACACACATACCCTGAGAAATATGCCGTGGAAACTGCAAGGAACCATGCAGGCCAAAACCCATTTCAAAACAAAACAAAGCTAATCAGGGCACAGCAGAAGGAGGCCGTGAAGTTTTCCCACTGGTTTGAGCCGGCAGAGTATATAATTCTGGCACTCAACGTCGTCTGTTTAATGGAAACTTGAATTCTTGGAAATCTGATTCCACTCCCCCCGCCCACCCCAGCCAACTATTAGGGTTCAAAATCAGAAGGATAAACAATGAGGCTGCTGTATAAAACGGAATTTAGAAAAGTACATGTGACTTTAACTGTCAACCCGAAGCCAATGAGATGCTCCACGGAAGAAGAAGAAGAAGAAGAAGAGTTTGGATTTGATATCCCGCTTTAACATTAAGGTCTCAAGCGGTTTCCCTTCCTCCCCCCACAACAAACACTCTGTGCGGTGAGTGAGGCTGAGAGACTTCAGAGAAGTGTGACTGGCCCAAGTCACCCAGCAGCTGCATGTGGAGGAGCGGAGACGCGAACCCGGTTCACCAGATTACGAGTCTACTGCTCTTAACCACTACACCACACTGGCTCTCTATCGGAGACAGTGATCCGATAGGCAGTGTGCTGTGGTTTAGGCTTACTGTAAGAGTAAGATTGGGGAGACCCAGGTTGCTTCCAGGTTCCCAGTTTATTGAGCATTCATCCTAATTTGATTCCTGCATTGCAGGGCGTTGTACTTGATGACCCTCGTGGTCTCTTCCAACTCTACAATTCTATGATTCTACAACTCATCTGGACAGCAATGTCCCACATGGGGCTGCCAATAGCTTGCAACTAAACTTCGCTCCTTTGGCGTGCAATTGACTTGGACTGAGATACGAGTCTCATGCTTGCTCTTCGTTTGCAAGAGTCAAAGTCCTCTTATCTCACGAGAAACGATAATCTTAATAGACTCCACTCTGGAGAACAACATACAGAGTGCTAGAACCTGGTCAAGGCACTCAGTAACTTGCAGGATTAATTGTGGCAGCCTCTTGAACAGATTGTGGAGGACTTGCTTTCAGGGCAAGTTCTGTGCCGATATTAAACTGGTTTTCCCCACCCCAAAAGAAACACAACGATGGTTCTTCATTCCTAGGAGGCAGTTTGGTTCCATGAAAGATTATTGCTTTTACACATAGCTTTTTTGTAGCTCCTAGGCTCCTAGGCTTGGGGGGGGGGGTTGTAATTTCCATTCAGTATTCTACTTATTTCACGCTTCGCCAAATAACATTTGAACTGAAATGCAGCCTTCAGAATTTGCATTCCTCCAATGCCGTTCTCCAGCTAACTGATATGTTCAAAAATGCATATACCGGTACCATGGTTATGTGTGCATATGAATGCAAATATACACAATAACGACATACAAAAATGCCTTACTCAACCACCAGAGGCTTAGAAATGCTGGTGTCAATTTTAATCTATTCTTGTTATTTTAACCTCTTGTGTTTTAATGCATTGCAAACGTTTCCTTGGTTATATGGTTTTATCTTTTTTGCAAACTCCTTTGAAGTTTTCGTTTGCAATCAGGCGGTGCACAAATTTTACAAAACAAATAAGGTTACACAGTGGTTCTCAACCTGTGGGTCCCCAGATGTTGTTGGACTGCAACTCCCATCATCCCTGAGCTCTGGCCTTGCTAGCTAAGGGTGATGGGAGTTGTAGTCCAACAACATCTGGGGACCCACAGGTTGAGAAAGGCTGGGTTAGGGGAAATAATGCTTTGCCAAAATTTGCCAAAATATATGGGGGAAATTGCATGCAATCATCAGGAGGTGCTGGGCAGTGAGCCGCCAGAGATAAATGTTTGCAGGGATAGCCAACACAGTGACTTCCACAGCTGAGCTACATCCCTGACCTTTGGTCATGTTGGCTTGGGCTGATGGGGTTTGGAATCCAACAGCATGAAGAGACAATGGGGCCCCCCATCCCTGCTCTAGGTAATAAGGGGATCATAGGTACTGGAATAGGGACGTGGGTGGCACTGTGGGTTAAACCACAGAGCCTGGGACTTGCCGATCAGAAGGTTGGCGGTTCGAACCCCCGCGATGGGGTGAGCTCCCATTGCTCGGTCCCTGCTCCTGCCAACCTAGCAGTTTGAAAGCACGTCAAAGTGCAAGTAGATAAATAGGTACCACTCCGGTGGGAAGGTAAACGGCATTTCCGTGTGCTGGTCTGGTTCGCCAGAAGCGGCTTAGTCATGCTGGCCACATGACCCGGAATCTATACGCCGGCTCCCTCGGCCAGTAAAGCAAGATGAACGCCGCAATCCCAGAGTCGGCCACGACTGGACCTAACAGTCAGGGGTACCTCCCCCTTCTCATTTTGACTCTCCAGCTTCATATTTGTCTAAACTAACCATCCCAAAATACAGACGTGCCTTTACATTGGCTAGATGGGATGTTCTTCCCTCTGCTGTACTCGAAGGTCGTTACCAAAAAGACTCCATTTGAAAAACGACTCTGCCCATGTGGAGATGGTAACACGGAAACAGTGTCCCACGTCCTTTCTTTCTTGCCCCCTTTACAAAGACCTAAGGAATGAGATTATTACCCCACTCATTCTCTCCAACCCCGGCCGTTCACCAGACATTACACTGTATTTTCTATTATCTGATACGGATAGTCAGATAACAGAGAAGGTCGCGAGGTACATCGAGAGAGCTGCGAAATTGAGGGCCACCATCTGAGTGACAGACCTGTTCACCCGACGGACCTCCTTTTGCCTGTTCTTTTCTTCCTCTTATCCCTATTTTCACTTTTAACTCTTGTACAGCTGTGGCCTGTTGGCTTTGCTAATAAAGTTTTGATTTGATTTGAGTCAGGGGTACCTTTACCTTTAGGTACTGGAATAATTTCATCTACACACAGACTAGCTGCTGTAAAGACTTCCTGTTCAGGTTAGGACTTTGCCTGAAGGAAAACAGACTTCACTGCAAAAAACACAGAGCACATTTCATTTTTTAAAAAAATAGTGGCAATGAAATCCCAGTATA